ACTTGTTAAATTATTTTTTCATGGATTATTTTTCGAGTTATAAGCTATTATGTGGTTACTGATAGCAATTTGACTGTAACTGGTCCATTTTCCCAGTTACAGTACTATTAAACCATTGGACCTGAACATACTGCACACATATATATATCACATATATATATTTTCACTTTTGCTGCCCCCTTGTGGTGGATTAAGCAATGGTTCATTTAAGGATTGTGTTGCTTTTAATGGGAGTTATTCTGGATCTGAGTATCTCATATATATCATATAAACTGAACTGAAGAAATAAATTAAGTTCTAGTTTCATCTATCTTACATGTTGCATCTGACAGGAAATTATGCAAAAATCTCTTCCTTACTGGGCCTGAAGACTCAATTACCCCATCACCAAATGAAAAACAAAATCCTTAAAGTTGACGTGTTTTATTCCAAAACAATTCGTCATTAACATTAATCTTCATTCATTAAAGGCCACCAGACTTTTTTTTGACTGTTAAATAGATCCTACAAGTCTTACAGGATGCATAGTACACCCAAAAATGGTCTTTTAAATCAACATGGAACATGCTTCTACAACAACCTCAGTATCTAAATAAACAAAAAAAAATATAAAACTATATACAAAATATGGAATGAATAAATGCCAAGGAATATGTGTTCCTCTGACATTATAATTTACCCAGACAGAGATGATGTTTACAATAATTGAGGGACCACAAATAATTGAGTGGTTAAGTCCTCCATGTGATGCCCCTATTGCTGCTTTCAAACAGCATTAATACAACAAAAACAGAGTTGACAGGCCGCTCTTTTTTATATTTATTTATTCCTGATAGAGCTGTCAAGTTGGAATAAAACCATCCTCAGGATTGGAGCCTCTACACTAATATACAGACTACTAGACAGTGTAGATTGTGGATGAAGGAGACTGACCAACTGCAAGTGGCATTTCAGTCGAGTCAATCTGTGATGTTAAGCTGTATCTTTATTTTATCAATTAAAACTCGACAGTTAAAGGATTGAGGGCTGATCCACAAAGTCATATAGGAGGAGATCAGCTCTGCTGATTGAACTGCAATTTCTGTTGATCTTATAGAGGTCAGAGATTTAATTAATAGTGGTTTAAAAGAGCAGTTTAGAGGTTTATAGTTCTTACATCAGAGCCAACCCACTTCCCTGCTATAAACTGTTGCTAAACAGTCTCAAAACCAGCTACAACACCAATGTCTTATCTTTAAATCGAAGTGATTACTACTAGTAACTTCTTGTAAGTAGTTGTTTTTTTTCCAAATTGATTGAAGATGTGGACTTGCTGCCTCTGATGGTGGTCAGTGGTCAGTCAGGTGGATAACAAGTATTTGATTCCTTGTGATTTCATACATTTTTGAATCGCAAGGTTGAGGTTGAGTGTGAACACTGCCTGAAAAAGAGAGAAAAGACATAAAGTAAAAACAAGTAGAATTAAGTAAAGCTACAATGTATATTAACAAATGAGCTTTTAGCTGCTTTTTAAAAATAATTTGGCTTGTGTGAAACTTTGCAGAAGCGTGTTCCAGGATGGATGACGCAGCTGTTACCTCTGTACCTTATCATCTTGGATTATTAAAGTACTGTAAACAACATAAATATAAACTCATATCACTGACTTTCACAGTTTGAAAAAGATGAATCAGCATCACCATCTGACAACATTTGGCCACATCTTCCTTTGCTTTCTGTCTTATTTTTTAAATATTTGTTACAAAGACAGGACCCTCCATCAGCAGCAAATGTACTTCCTGTTCCTTCCAGTTTTAACACTTTTTTTAAGGTGACAGTTATGGCATCTGTCACCTTTCTTATATTTGTGTGTTGCAGAAAGTCTACTCTACAATAAATATCATCACTCTCTCACTTTTTTCACAGCTGTCTCTCTCTCTCGCAGGCCACCAGATGTTTGAAGGGAGCGCTGTCCACCAATGGCTGTGTTGGGGAGCTCTCTACCTGTTGGCCGCGGGGGTGGCATTAACATCTGAAACACGCCGGCCGTGTCCACAGCCCTGCCGCTGCAACACCATACTACTGGAGGTGAACTGCTCTGACGGACAAGTTACCACAGTGCCCACCGGTCTCCCACAAGACACTAAACTACTAAACCTTACACACAATAAGCTCAAGACTCTGGTGCATGAGCAGTTCCAGACTTTGACACAACTTTTAGACTTGGATTTGAGTGACAATATTATGGTGATAATTGAAGTGGAAGCCTTTCTCGGCTTGCAAAGCCTGAGAACTCTGCGTCTTGCTCGGAACCACCTGAAGATTATTCCCGCAGGAGTGTTTGCTGGCTTGCCAAATCTGAGGTTACTGGACATAAGCAGCAACGAGATCCTTGTTTTTCTAGATTTTACTTTCCGTGACTTGACTGCCCTGCAGTTCCTTAAAGCAGCAGATAATGACTTTGTGTTCATCTCTCATCAAGCTTTCTCTGGCTTAACCAGTCTGCAGGAGCTGCATCTTGATGGCTGCAACCTCACCGCTGTGCCGACAGAGGCGCTCACACAGCTAAATGGGCTGAGAAGTCTTCATTTTCACCGACTGGGCCTCACCACGCTGCCAAACTACTCCTTCAATCATCTACAGCATCTTAAGGAACTTGTCATATCTCATTGCTCCTGGCTGGAGACCCTGTCAGGAAACAGTCTCTTTGGCCTAAATCTTACATCCCTCACCATTAGACACTCTAAACTCAGTGCTGTCCCATACATCCCTTTGCATCATCTTGTATATCTTGTATACCTTGACCTTTCCTTTAACCCAATCGCCTACATTCATGGGAACCTGCTTGGAGACTTGCTCCGGCTCCAAGAGCTCCATCTGGTGGGGGGTTCATTGCTTCGCATCGAAATCGGAGCATTCAGGGGCTTGGCATATTTCAAATTGCTGAATGTGTCTAGAAACCTTCTCACCACACTTGAGGTGGGAGCTTTTCATTCAGTGGATACCCTAAAGACTCTGGGACTTGATAACAACCCACTGGCGTGCGACTGTCGTTTGCTGTGGGTGGTGCGAAGACGACTATATCTGGACTTTGGTGGAAATCGACCGACTTGCACTACCTCTGTCCAGTTGCAGGGCTGGAGTTTTTTAGACTTCACTGAGGCTGAACTCCCAGGCCTGCTCACATGTCGGCGGCCTCGTATCCTGAATCGCAAACCTCAAGAAGTGAGAATAGATCAGGGGCACACGGTGGAGTTTTACTGCAATGCAGAAGGTGACCCTGTGCCGTCTGTCACCTGGCTGAACCCACAGCTAAATCTTTTATCTTCCATTGGTAGAATACGGGCTCTCTCTAATGGTTCGCTGGAGGTTCGCTATGCACAACCTCAAGACAGCGGTACTTATCTCTGTGTGGCATCTAATGCGGCAGGAAATAACAGCCTGCCTGTCAGCCTGCATGTCAGAGCCTTCCCATCATCTTCTAAAAACCCCTTTCGTCTTAAAGGTTGGTTTGCCCTTCCGTCTGCCTCTCCGGGTATGAACGGAAGTCAGAAACAACTCCCATTTGATGTCAAGACGTTACTGATAGCAGCGACCATTGGGTTTCTCTCATTTTTCAGCTCTGTGAGCATTTGTTTCATTTTTATGTTCTTCTGGAGTAAGAGTAAAGGGCAAATAAAGCACACAGCCACTATAGCATATGTGCCACGAAGCGCCATGTCAAGTAGTAAAGGAGGGACAGGCAACTATATGGAGACAAGCAGGTTCACCATGAAACTAATATGACTATAAGTTAAAAAAATCTTTTTTTTTTTACTTTGTGTGACTAGGTACATTGTAGTTTATAAACTGAAGTAGGCTTATTGAATTTTAGAGCATGTTAACTTGTCCAACAGAGGCTGACTGTTGATTCATTAATATAAATGTGAGCATGTTAGCTAGAGCCTATGTTGTGCAATTGTAAAAACGACATAGTAAATTATGTAATTAATTATGCTGGCATAAGCCCTTATGGACATTAAGAAGATTTTAAATTACATTTTAAGAACATCTAACCAAGAGATGAGCAGCACTGATCAGCTTTATTTTTCATGTGAGACAGAAGCTGGTAGAAGCCTGAATGTAAAGCAACCAAAGTAAGCAATATTTAATGAGCATAATGCATGTAATATGTGAAATGTTGTTGCTTATATTGCACTTGTTGATGTTTATATAGAGAAACAATAACTTTTGTTTATAGGCGTTCGTGGCTGACTAATTGTATGTTTTTGTCTTTTTGCTCATTTGTTTTTTGAAGAACATATGAAATAGTACTTATTTATTTACATAATTATTATGGACCTGAGACAGTAGCCATGAGATAACTAGAATATTATAAAAGAAAAGTTAACCTTATATTAAGGTTAATGTACACAACACTTGTATCAATAACATCATGTAATTTTTACTTAATTTGATTATTTAGCTTGTATTATAATATTGTTACATTTACTGCTGTACTGTAAAGAAATGTATGGAATTTATGTTTTTTTTTATTCCCCAATAAAGAACCTAATAGTTTTGCTTTCTGCCATAAAATAAAAATGATTGTGCTTTCAAAAATATAACTTTGTATTATTTGGTTTGCTTATTCAGTGGTTCTTGGTTTAAAACATGAGAAACATCAAATGTGGTGAGTATACTTTGTATCTTTTGTAACGTTAAGTACTGCTGAAAAGAGACAATGACCAAGATTTAAGCTACTAAATTATAATGTTCATCACAACTGCCACAATCATCTAATTTATGTTGTTGCCATGGCAATACATTAGCTCTCTGGGGCCAGGCACCAACTCCACTGGTTCCCATGACAACAGTATCAAACATTGTATGGCCATCATTATAAATTTACCATAAAAATAATCTGAATTCACGACATGAATGTGAATGAAATAATGTTCAATGAAACTATATTCATTCAAATTATAAAACAAAAGGTTTTATTTTGAACATAACCCGGAAGTACATTATCTGCTCCGGAAGTGTTGGTTAGCAACAAGAAAGCGGCGGCCAGGTTAGCTGCATACTTAGCTTGTGTTACCAAGCTATTTTTTTTTTTAAGCATATCAGCGTGAATTTAACGCGTATTCATAACTTAAATAAATATGCGTACGGACAGATAACTGAGTAAGCGCCGCCAGTAACAACGAGGTGAAAAGAGGTCCCTCTAAAACAGCCCACAGCTGTTCAGTCAGCACAACATTAACCTGGCTACATACAGAAACGCTAGTATCGTTTAGAGACTAACAACCATGACTCTGGCAGTGGGCCGCGAACCCAGAAAGACTGCGGGGAACCGCATGTCCAAACTACTGGACGCTGAAGAAGAGGATGAATTCTACAAGACAACATACGGAGGCTTCAACGATGTGAGTAACAAACCCGAGAGAAAGGGACCGCTTGTACGATAGCATTGGTTCACAGCGATCTTGAGTTGGTCTCTTGAATAGTCGAAGTCTCTGATTTGAAATATATATATATATTTTTTGTATTTCTAAATAGGTGGCACCCTGTCGACTTGAATAATAGTAGCCTGTAGCGTTAATAGACTTTAATTGAGTAGTTACTTAATTCTTTTTTTATTTAATAAGTCATTTATAAACATAAACCAGTAACAAACGTCCATCACAACTGCAGCGTATAGGGATTTCTTTGTTTCTAAGGGATGAATTGCTCACTTAAATTGGCACCAGTCCTAATCTGACAGATTTAAATTAAGACCCAGCAACTGAAATGATTTAAATAGTATCTATACTGAAAACAATCTGTCATCTTTTGGTAGCTGCATCTGGACCAACATGCACTGCATCAATAACAAGAAGAAACAATACATTTTCTCAACAGATCAGTATGTTTCATGTCATATTTAACGTTATATATCTACTTATAGTTAGGTAAACGAGTGATTTTAAAGTTTTTCAAGTAGTTAATTTGTTAAAGGCAGAGAAGTGACTCACTCAGGTCTCATGTTTAGTCTTCGTTTGTTGATATTAAGAAAGTGTGAAATTGAAGGTAGGATTTATTACGTATTTATTAGCTAGGTGTACCCAATACACTGGTAACGGAGTGAGTGTTAGTTTGCCATCCTTCCTGAAGTTAATGCAGCAGCTCTGGTCATCCAAACCAACATGCCAGCGTGATTCATCCGAAACTGTGACCACGACTCCAAAATATCCGGGCCCAGTCCGATAACAGCTAACAAATTTGTGAAGGTCGGATGCGAGTGCCAGTCTTTCCTACTTCACACTCAAAGAGAGAGGAAACGCTATAAAGGCTTCAAGAAGAAGAATAGGATTAAGATTCACTTTCTCAATCCCCAATGGGGAGTCTCCGTCAATTCAAGCTATACTACACTACTCGATGTTATTTGATATTGTAAGGCTGAAATTTAAAGATGTTAATTCGTATCCTCAGTTTTCAGTCTCACTCATTTTAACAGCTGTCGGTTCAAGGGTCCACGTGTGTAGGGGGATTTGGCCGGGGCTGCTCTGGCAGTTCTGACATTCGTCTCAGCTGAGGTTGACAAGAGAAAAAAAATCCCAAACAAACCTTGTGAATCCTTAGTCATCTGTACTGGCACTTATAAAACAGGGTACCATGCCTGTGCCTATATTAAATGTGAGGGTTAGTCTGACTTATAATGTATAATGATTATTATCAACTTGTGACCGATGTTGATCTTTGTCACCGCAGTTTGTTAATGTTTGCAAATGTCATGGTTTTCATGTCTCAATTAAATACCTTTGCAGGCACTTATTCTTTAACAACTGATTATTTTTCTTCCATAGAGCTCTGTTAGTTGTTTAGGCTTTTAAAACTCAATCAAAATGCATATTTCCAGGACACTTTTTAAAACTACACCTAATTGGCATTCAGCTTAAAAGTTCCCACTTTCCTGAATATGCTGAGTTTATGTTCTTGTACGTTAGATGTCGGTATTATATTGTCTACCTCTTTTTAAATACGCTCCATGAGCCCAGTGGCTGTATCACCTTGAGATTTGCTTGGTGTAATTGTCAACACAAACACATACGGAGAGCTGCCTCTCTATGTAGTTGTGTTGTAAATCTGTGACTGAGTGAGTGTGAGTATCTCCCTCACTAAATCTCATATCTTAATGGTACTTTGCTCAGCATACACACACATCACAGAACTTAACTCGACTACATTAGGCTACATTGGCCTGCATCAGCTTCAAAATGGTGATAACTCCCCTGAATAAAAGTCTGAATACAGCATATAAGACACATTAACAGGTAATATATCTCATTATTTTCCATAAATTGTTGACTAAATGATGCTTTCTGGTTTCCTTTCAGGAATCAGGAGATGATGAGTATCACGGAGAGCATTCAGACACAGAGGACGAGGTGGACAGCGACTTTGACATCGATGAGGGTGACGAGCCAGACAGTGACCAGGAGGAGGATGCACCTCGGAGGAAAAGTCGGGTTGTCACCAAAGCTTATAAGGTAGCGACAATCAGAATCATATATTCACTACATATCAGCCCTGTTTATTTTCATTAAGCAGCTCATTATTATGGCTGTTCTGCAGCTCCACTGGAGCCATTGGTTGCCAAATGCCATCCTGTCAGCAGAAGCTGAGGGAGCAGAAAGCATAATTGATTTAATGTTGCCTCCTCACTGTTGTCTGTGGGATTAGAATTAGCAGTTGCATTATGGTAACAGCCAGGTCTTTCTAACTTTGATCTAGACAAGTTTGTATTTATTTTGCTCGTTCATCATACATGTATGAAAGAGATTTGATGTTAATAGGCTTTTTGTCTTTGTTTAATCCAAGGAACCTATAAAAGTTGCAAAGCCCAAACCCAAAAGACCCTCTGAGGAACAGAAGAAGATAGAGAAAACTAAAGTGGAGCTCAAAAGAAGGATTCCACAAGAATTCCAAGATTTTGCAGAGCGTAAGATTCCCACACACAAATGCATTTTACAGTGTCCATGGTGGGCCAGTGATCATTATATATCATTTCTGAACAGGATTTTTCAGGTTTTTTGAACTGAATGTCTTAATCATTCTTTAGCTCGGAAGTCTGTGCGACAGTCCACCAGTGAACATACCCGAAAGACCAATCTGCGCTTGCAAGAACGCCAGGATGCCCCTCGGAGACGGAGGGGTGCTCATCGCGACCGGCCCCTTACCCAGGAAGAACTGCTGGCTGAGGCCAAAATAACAGCTGAGATTAACATTCGATCTTTAGGTGAGAACATGCTGGTCAAGTCATTCTTCCAAAATTTAGTGTCTTCAGTAGAATGTTATTTATAAATGCCTGGACAGTAAACTAATGACAATAGAAACAGTAATTATGCTGTTTACCAATTGAATAAGCGTAAGGATGCATTCAGTTACACTACATTGAGCAGTGTTTCCTCTTAACAGACATTGGACCCGATGTAGTTAGTTGCTGTGTTCAGTCCATAACCCTTTTTGACATCTGTGGAAGTGACAGCCCATTAAAGGGCATTATGACTGTATGAGGCACAAATGCTGTGGTGTTTGGTGGTTAGAGTATAAATAGAAATATAGTTGATTTTGTGTTGCAACAGATGTCACTAGCTTTATTCAGAATATATGTGAATCAGTGTAGCCCATCTGTGTGGCAAAGAGATGCAGAAAAGCTTAGTAAATGTTGATATAATGATTCATTTTACTAATTATTGTTGTTACTAAATTAGTAATTAATATACATTTACCAGTATACTGTCTTAGGGTGTTTCACTTGAAATTTGGATGTCCCGATTCATTTTACTTTATGTGTGTAGAGAACTATGAACGTCTGGAGGCGGATAAGAAGAAACAAGTCCACAAGAAGCGGCGTTTTGAAGGACCAACCATCCGTTACCATTCAGTCCTGATGCCGCTAGTCTCTCACTCAGTCCTAAAAGAAGAAAATGTGGATGTTGAAGGGTATGTGTGATGTTGTACTAGACTTAATTGGCTTCAGAAATAATTTAGCACATAGAATGCTGGCTAAAGAAACACGCTTCAACTGCATTGACCTTAAGTATTTCATCCTTTTTAGACTCTCATATGATCGTGATTAGTAGTTACAGTATGTCATAATTACTAAAAAATAGTAATTTGTCTCATTTTGCCATTTTCCAAAGGTTGGATCAAGATGTCCCTCAGACTGCACCACAAAATCCCACCACACCTTCCCAGCAGCCCGCCGGAGGCCTGTGCTCCCGTACTTACATAACATTCAGTGACGACGAAGCTTTTGAGGCGGCCTTTCCACACAGCGCCCAGTCAAGTCCTCAGCTGCCCGTCCAGGAGGTTTGTCCTGTCACCCACAAGGCCGCACTGTACAGAGATCCAGTCACTGACATACCGTACGCTAACACACGAGCCTTCCGCATCATCCGAGAAGCGTACCGTAAATACGTGGCTGCTCACGGATTTCCAAACACTGGTGTGACGGGACTTGACTCCTCAGCAACGAAGGGTGCTCGCCAGAAAATGGTCGTCAAGCAGGGTGCTATTGGAACATAGATTAATTTTAAAAGTATTTAAGAAATAGGTCTGTGCGTCCTGTTGCTGTGCACCACCATGGGGTAAACACCTTTTCTGAAAACAAAAATATCTATATCTGATTTTCTCTCCATCCATACAAAGTATCATTGGCATCAGACAAAAGTTAGTTGGTAAAGTTGCAGATGTTTTGGGATTTGGTAAAAACTGTTACTGTTGTGGACAGCATAAAATTAAATTAAAATAAAAAGAACTTAGTAAAAAAAAACATAATTACCACAACTAGATCAGTTGGTGTATTCTCTTAAACTGCATAAAAGTCCTACTTGTGACGTCTCTGTACAGAAATTCATTGTGTACATTAATACCCCGACAAATCCAGGTTGAGTGGATGGAAAACTGCAGGTTGGCTTTGGAAGCAAAGTAGGCCTCCATCTGCACATTGGCAGCTTTTGATGTTTTTCTTTTTCTTAAATGCCTTTTTTTACTGTCAAGATATTTGGTTTCTACAAATGTACATATTTCTCAACAAAAATAAATATTTGAAATGTGGAAAAAATCATATTTCACTATTTCTATGAACTCGGGTTTGTATCACGTTTCAGACATCAAACACTGAAACAACAGCTACCCTGAAAGGACTGCTGTGGAACAGCACACTAAAAACATGGCCGTCAGTGTGTCTTGATGATATTGTTCATTTAATTTAAATAATTTGAACTACAGCCTGTAAAACCTTGTTCTCATCATATTTTATTAATTTAATGTGTAATGCCCCTTACAACTTTAAATCCATCCTGAATCTACCCATACATTGTAATCAACACTAGCTTAACTTGGTTAAGAAAAATGACTAAATTTCATATTTGCTTTTAAAAACCTTAAACTCACATTCATCCCAACTCTGTTACTGAAATCAGATGAGATTGATTTGGGAAAACTGGGCCCAGGAATTAGATTTACTGCCTGGGGCGGCTGTGGCTCAGAGGCAGAGCGGGTCGTCCCCCAATCGCAAGGTTGTTGGTTCGATCGCTTTTCTCCTGGCCACGTCTTGAGCAAAGAATACTTGAACCCCAAATTGCTCCTGAAAAAAAATAGCATAAGGATCAGTGTGTGAAATGAATGAGTTAGTTTCTGTTCGATGGACTTTGCCATCGCTGTGTGAATGTGTGTGAAAGGATGAATGTGAGTGGTCGGAAGACTAGAAAGGTGCTATACAAGTGCAGGTCCATTTACAATTTACCATGTATCTGGCAATTCATTGACAGTTTTAAATTATAAAAGCAGTAATTCCTTCCTGCTTTTGTTTATTGCTAAATGTTAACATTACAATAATCATACAAATATGGAATACTTGGGGTTGTTATTGACAGCAAACCTCTGTTATTCCTCTATTTCTTAATGTTTACTCTGAAAATAGATTGTTATTCAGATTTCCACTAACTGCTCACTGCCTCAACGTGAAAGACAAGATATCTGAATAACACCAGTTACATAAATCACATTGTAGTATCTAAATAAACCAGACAGCCAATTTTCAAGCATTTTGAATATGTCTGAGCTGGTCGTGCTGCTATCATGAAAGCTCATATTTCTGTTCATGGTTAATTAATAAAAAAATAGTTTGAACTCCAGTCCTGAGTGTCACAGCAAACATCGCTGCTATGTTGATCCCTCTAGGACCTTATATGAGGTTTTCTATATTTATTCTCCCAGGGCACAAAAACAGAACAACAGAGCGCTGAGTGCTTGACTAGCGCGGTCACCTTTGACCCCTCACACATTGAACAAGAATCACTCCTCTGCACAGTGTCCTGTAGCTTTTGACCATTGCAACTGACCTCTGTTACATAAAAGCTCACTGGGGAACAAAAATAATGTAAATGTTTAGTCACCCAGATTGAATTGCCTATAGTCACGGATAGACATCCCACTCCTGAAATACGAGTACCGTTCACATCATTTCTGTTATTAGCAAAAATGTGAGTTTATTTTACAGCTGCAGTATGGAAGTTTTCGCTTTCACGCTTCAGCCGGAAACGTGATTGATGAGGATGACGGCGTCATGGCTGACTGGTGAAGCTGACCTTGAATTCCTTTGGAGTTTCAGGTACAAATCCTGCTGAGTCTGCCTCCATGTCAGTTTAGCCCTCAGCAGATGGTTCGGGCAGAAATTTTACCTTTGCATGAAAGCTCCCAAAATTCTGTTTTGACGTTGCTGCCAAAAGGATCATGTTGCACTCAAGCGGATTTTCTCCTGCTGTTCCTGTAATGTCCTGATGATGTTGAGCAGAGCATCTCATTGAGCAGTCAACCACATCTTTGTTCTGTGTCTAAGCAACCAAACTCAAGCTTCATTTGAAGTTCTTGTTCCTGTCAGCTGGTCTTTGATTAAAAAAGGAAATATATTTTTCACGTTTTCATGTAGAACCGATAACCCTGATTGTTAACCTCCGCTGATGTGCTCGCTTCAAACAATCTGTAACCACGGGCAGATTTGTTGGTGTATTAAAATATATGGGCCTTTCTTTACAAGTAAAACCACAGCACCCAGGACGAACTGACCAAAACATATTTAGATTTAGATTTAGAGGTAAAACGTTAAGTTGACTGATCAATTAGTCCATTGGCAGACGTGTAAGAGACCACAGTTAGTAATTATTGAAGCAGAAATGTAAACAAAACCACTGGTTTTAGCTTCTTTAATATGACGATTTGCTGCTTTTCATTATTATCGCTCAAAAAATTTGGAGATGTTACATTGAATTTTAAGACATTAATCAGTATTGAGCTGCAACAATTTGTCAATTAATCAAATAGTAGATTGCCAGAAAAATAATATGCAAATCTTATGATAATAGTATAATAAAGTATAGTATAATAAAAGTACTTTTTATGCAAAAATGCCAAATGTTCCCTGGTTTCAACTTGGATGATATGTTCTCTCAGTGTAAACTGAAGATCTTTGGTTTTTAGACTATTGGTCAAACAAAATGAAAATAAATGTAACTTGCATTCTTAGTAAGATTTATGTCTTGCATGACTAGTGGCCAAATTGCTATTTCAAATTGCTTAAGCTCAAAATTTTATTGATTTGTATATCAATAAGGACCATTGTTAATAGCACAATAAGTGCTATTAACTAGTACACTGGTCAGCTAAAAGGAATAAGTTAATAATCCATTATACAGCAGGCATTCACACAGATATGAACACTGAGTTAAGGTTAACATAAAGACCTAAATGTCACATTTTAAACTGAGGATTTTCTCTTCAGTGGCGAGGCCAGCGTTCCTGTCAGAAACCAGGTTGCTAAAATGACGCCAGGGATAAAGATCAAATCCACTTCACTTCCCTGGCAGTCAGATGGTCTCTGTCATGACACAAACAATGCTGGTGAAGTGAAGAGCAGAGGCGGATCAGCCATCTGGAAGGTTTCCTGGTGGGCCGACCGACAACCGATCTTACTTGCGCTGCATTTGTCATATGCTGAGTTGACAGTGACAGACTGATTGTACTTTGTATTAATCATGACAGTCTGCCTAACAAATTAACATCGAGCAACAGAACCGACAAAGGAAATCTCCTCAGACTGACGACAAATTGATTGATTTATTTATTTATTTTTGTTAGCAGAAGTATTAGTTACCGTATGCTAACAGCAGCATACTGTGCTGCTTTGGCAGTTAAACAAGCAGTTCGGAGAGATGAGTCCAGAATAGGATGAAAGGCCCATGGAAGGATGGCTAAAAAAAGCAGTGGTGGGTGTAGCAAAGACGCATTGTCTCAAATAATTTCACTAGCCTTTTTATGGATAAGATGTATAATTTAGCACACATATATGCACGCTTTATGAACAGTACATGGGTCAAATTCTTCCACAGTACAAGTCAAACTGTCCTCTGCGCACTGGTATCTTCACTTTTTGAGGATACAGATCTTCAAAGAGCATGTTGCACAAAGCCGTGTATAAAGGTTTTTGAGTTGTTGTGGTGTCACTTCACATTCACACCAGCAGCAGGAACTAGATTGAGAAAGAGGCATTTATTTCTTCATGCATTTTCAATCCTATAAACCTCAATACTTGTTCTTTGAAAGCAACTGCTGCCCACACAGTGTGCCACTTGCTTTGGCGAAGACGGAAGAAGAAAAAAAAAAAATAGAACACATTAATTCAAAAATAACAAGTTATCCCTTAAAGCAATGATGATGAATTCAGTGTCAGGCTAAGCCAATGTCTCTGGTGGATCGACGGATGTAACGTTTGCAGTCAAAATATTTAGCCAGTAGTGTTTTTACAGGCTTTATATTTCTCATATATCATCTGCAACAACAGAATACTGAAAGCTTTGTCTCCCACATACTGCACAGTGCATATGGTACCAATTGAACAGTTTTCAGAATAGGAAGAGAGGGAACTGCATTATCACTCGTTCTAGTGTGGTAGTTGCCATGGAGACAAGTGTAGGTGGTGTACTGTGCTGTACTCTGTGCTGTACTCCTTCCCTTGTCCTCTCCCCTCTTCTGTTGCCCACCGTCTCTGTTCTGCTATCTGCAACATCCGCGTAACTTTCATTCCTTCATATTTACTCGAGTCTCTGTTGCTCGGTTTTTTGGATCCTGCTGGTTTTGCATCGTCGCATCGAACAGTTCGAACCACACACTCGCCTTAAAATGCACAGTCTGTAATTACATGAAAAAAAAGAAACAAACTAAAGTTAAATTGGGTTGACCACATTTTACTCTGCAGTCTTTGTGGATTCAAAAGGTTTACATGAGTATCATATTCTCCAAGTTCTTCTTTTACATTATAGCTAGGTTCATTTATCATTTTCTTCATATTTAATGACTGACGGCCATTTTGGTTCTGCTTAGATCCCTCAAATCCTCCTGTATTTTTCTTTATTCCACAAATTTGTTTCTTGCTGACCATCCGAGTACTTGTATATGCTTTATCAATCCCTTCTTTTTGCAGAACAGCTATTCTTTTATCAGTTTCCATGGAGATTGTGTGTTTGTGTGAGAGAGTGTGTGTGTGTGTGAGGGTTGAGAGTGATACAGTGGGGATGTGTCATTTCCAGTTTATGCTTTTTGTTTTATTTTTAAGGCTGCATGTGCCGCACAGTGTCATGAGTTAGTCTGGCTTCCTATATTCGCTCTTTGCTCTTGATGCTGCTGGATTACACTTTAAATCCCACAAAGATGACCATAGTAAGACCTGAACAAACTCCAATTTATACCAGGAAGATAAAAGAAAAAGCAAGAAGAGAATCATCATTTCAGTGACTGGTTTAATCAACATTGTAGTGTTCAGTGCAGCCAAAAACACAACTATGAAAACAAGTGTTTATCTGTTTTCTGTTTTAATGCAGTGGGTTTTTTCCTGTTTGTGTATTTTTAAGAGATCCAACCCTTAGTGATTCATTCAGAGGATTCAAGAAGAAGGTTATCATTACCCATGTCTCAGTTTTCTAACAATTTTATGTCCACAATTTACCACCAGCCTCATGTTTGTGATATAGAGACAGGATAAAAAAAAAAAAAAAAACAGGT